TGAGCGGTTTAAATATTTGGAAACTAGACAGACAGGGATTTAATTTAATATATTATATGCTGAATTTGGATAATTGTAGACCCATTGCGAACCATTTATTTTATTATCACACACATTTTGGTTTCCCCTGTTTCTCAGTTTCCATTGAACAGTTAGTAGTAAATTGACCATAATTTGCTCAATAAAAACCCAATTGACAAGTGGTTTAAATATTTGGAAACTAAACAGACAGGACTTTAATTTGATATATTATAACCTAAATTTGGATAACTGTAGACCCATTGCCAAATAATTCATTTTATCATCACACACGTTTCAGTTTCTCCTGTTTCTCGATTTCAACTTAACAATCAGTAGTAAATTGACTATAACTTGTTTAATAAAATTTCAATTGACAAACGGTTTGAATATTTGGAAACTAGACAGATAGAGATTTAATTTGATATATTATACGCTAAATTTGGATAACTATAGACCCATTACCGAACTATTCATTTTATCATCACACACATTTTGGTTTTCTCTGTTTCTCGGTTTCCCTTGAACAGTTAGTAGTAAATTGACCATAAATTGCTCAATAAAAATTCAATTGATGAACGGTTTGGATATTTGGAAACTAGACAGACAGAACTTTAATTTAATATATTATACGCTGAATTTGGATAACTGTAGACTCATTGCCAAACAATTCCTTTTATCATCACAAATATTTGGCTTCTCCCATTTCTTAGTTTGCACTGAATAGTCAATAGTAAATTTACCATAACTTACTAAATAAAAATCCAATTGACAAACAGTTTGAATATTTGGAAACTAGACAGACAGAAATTTAAGTTGATATATTATACATAAAAATTTGGATAACTATAGACCCACTGTCGAACAATTCATTTTATCATCACACACATTTCAATTTCCCTGTTTCTCGGTTTCCACTGTATAGTTAGTATTTAATTGGCCATAACTTGCTCAATAAAAATCCAATTGATGAACAGTTTGAATATTTGAAAACTAGACAGATAGAGCTTTAATTTAATATATTATACGCTAAATTTGGATAATTATAGACCCACTACCGAACCATTCATTTTATCATTACACACATTTTAGTTTCTCCTATTTTTCAATTTCCACTAAACAATCAGTAGTAAATTAGTCATAACATACTCAATAAAAATTCAATTGACAAACAATTTGAATATTTGGAAACTAGACAGATAATTTGATATATTATACTTTGAATTTGGATAACTATAGGCCCATTGCCGAACCATCCATTTTATCATCACACACATTTTAGTTTCTCCTGTTTCTCAGTTTTCACTAAACAGTCAGTAGTAAATTGACCATAGATTGCTCAATAAAAATCCAATTGATGAACAGTTTGAATATTTGGAAACTAGATAGGTAGAGATTTAATTTGACATGTTATATGCTAAATTTGGATAACTGTAGACCCATTGCCGAACAATTCATTTTATCATCACACACATTTCGGTTTCCCCTGTTTCTGAGTTTTCACTGCACAGTCAGTAGTAAATTGGTCATAACATACTCAATAAAAATCCAATTGATGAATAGTTTGAATATTTGCAAACTAGACAGATAGGGCTTTAATATGACATATTATACGTTGAATTTGGATAACTATATACCCACTGCCGAACCATTCATTTTAATATACTACATTAATATATCAATTAACATCAGCATGCCCATTGATAAAAAAGTTCAACAAGTACTGCATGTTTATATCATCATTTTGCTAAAATCTATTTTTTCGTTCTCCCTCCTTTTGATGGTCTACCTCTACGTCTTTTTTCTTTTTCCACATCTTTTGTTGCAGATGATACTTGTACTGCATTTTTATCAGGCCTTCTTTGATATGAACAGAAAGACATAGCCTTCATTTGCTACAACACCTCTAAATAACACTTTTCAGCCTACAATTAAAAGAATAATTTTAAAATTATATATCAACAAATTAAAAGTTAAATAGGAATACATTACATTTATAAACACATACTGATTCAAGTCTGCCCTGCAAATTTTCTACGTTCAAAGGCAACTGATGTTTTTCATTTGTTAAGCTTTCTATCTATGTTCCAATAAAATAAAAAACACAAAAACGATAAATAATATATTGATAAAATATGACATTTAAAATAATTAAAAAAACAAACATATTCTAAAACAATTCTGATACCTTCTTTCTCGAGTCAAAATACAAGCTTTTGTATTTTGCATGACAAAGACACACATTCTCATGAGAAGAATATTTTGTTTTTTGACTTTGTAAAAGTTTTGTTAAGTAATCAAGTTTGTCTTCCAACTTCTTCCTTTCAGAAACTGATACATCGTCTTCTACTTCCTCAAATACAACAGCTCTTTATCATCTCTCTCACTTTCAATAAACACAATTGAATCAATCAAATGATCAATTTCCTATTGCCAACTATCTGAAATCAAACCCTCAAGTCTTACAGAATGTCTAACATTAGCATTAATGCCTCTCTTCCATTTCCTTTTTGAAGAAGCATCTACGTCATTCACACAGTGTTTTCCTTTTTCAATGCTATCAAGATTAAGACTCTATTAGAAACACGAAAGAAAAAAAAAAAAACAAATAACTAAAATATATTAACAACTAATTATAACAAAAAAAAGTTTTACAACCAAAAAAAAAAAAAAAAAAAAAGGAAGAAAAAATAAACCTCCAACAACAATCAAACTTCCCTTCATTTGGTTAGAATAGAACTTTTATTGTTATATCATTATTCAATTAACTAAAAGCCTTTTAAATAGGCAACACATCAATGCAAAATAAACTTAAAAACAAAAACAACTTTTAACCACTAACTCATACTCTGCAACACTACTAAAATGCCTAAATACTAGGTCTTAACAATCGACTTCTAAGGACCCACATCAAAGACAATTTTGAAAAATTGGTACCAAAATCTCCTTTAAACTGATGGTTTTGCTTAATTTACTCGTACAACAATCAAACTTCACTTAATTTCCTTACAATAGAAAACCCTAACTCACTATTCTATTAATAAAAGCAACAAATTCTACATGAAAAAACAAAATAATGGTTCCATTATCTAGCATTTTGTTGAAATAGACTGTTTAACAAATTAAAAACTTATAATTCAAATAAACCTACTCTCTATCATCTTAACAGTCAACAATAGTAACCAAAAAAAAAAAGTAAAATAAAAAAATAAACGAAACAAAACATAACAAAGAAATAGGATAAACACTATAATCATCTTCGAAGTAAATCACAACAGCAACACCAGACACCACTAACACAATCTTCAATCTTTAAAGAGAGAAAGAAAGTAACAATGCTAGTGAACGAACGCAAAACGAAAAAGGGAAACACAAAAATTAAAAACTTAAACAAACTAATAAACCGGTTAAATACTTGGTAAAAAAAACCGGTTTAACACTTATAAATAAACAAGTTCAAACATGCCGGTTCACACTTACAAACAATTTACTGAATTACTAAAACATGTTTCTATTATTACTAACAATTGGCCGTACCATTTCCCTATAATTGTAGTTATTGTTGAACAATCCTATTTAATCCTATAATTTTAACCATTACTTAATAATCCTATTTAATGTTAACAGTCAAGATGCAAAGTCATTAGTTTGTACTATACAATTAGAATAGATTATCTGTTGTACATTTCTCGTTACCAAGTACAATATTGTAATGCCCTTTTCAATTAATACTATATTAATTTTTTTTTTTTTTTTTTTGTTCATGATAATTGATGCAATGAAATTGCCAATCAATATTTTTTTCGCGAATCTTGAGTACTCTTTTATTGCAAGAATCTCCAGATCAAAACCATCAACTTCAAACCTGTCTGGTACAGTACTAGTATAATACAGATTAAAAGTGTTTTTTTTTTTTTTTTTTTTTTTGTTCATGATAATTGATGCAATGAAATTGCCGATCAATATTTTTTTCGCGAATCTTGAGTACTTTTTTATTGCAAGAATCTCCAGATCAAAACCATCAACTTCAAACCTGTCTGGTACAGTAATAGCATAATACAGTAAACTAAGTTTTCCATTCCGTGACTTAGTTTTTCACCAATAACAAAGTCATTAATCTTAATAAATAAATAAATTATCATAAATGTTGAAAACATAACTTTTATTTATACAATATGATAAATTAATATTAATTCTTTTGTACATAATATTTCTTTATATCAACAATAAATATATAATATTTTATTTATTGACTTTTTTAATTATCAATTCAATATAAAATAAACTTCAACACAGAAAATATATATTTAAAACACAAAATAATAATAATAATAATAATAATAATAATAATAATAATAATAACGTAAACAAAATTTAATAAATTGCTCAGGCTTTCCATCTAGTTGTATTATGTTATTAGAATTATTTGTCAGGATTCTTTCAACGATGGTGGGGTATATAGAAGTGAAGTGAGAAATGGATATTAACTCTTTTAAAATTTAAAAAATGGAATGAAGATTATTTATGAAATTTATGGGATGTAATGAGAAAAAAATTTAATTTTAAAACATCGAAATGGGATGTTTTAAGAAAATTAATATTTTTAGGTAGTGCCAATTTTATCCATAATCCAATCCAATCTATTCCGATAATTATAGATTTTTCTATTTTAAATTTGTATACTTTTATTTTTCAATGACATCGAGGAAAGAGAAGAAGAATTCCAAGGGAAAAGACAGGAACAACCCTATATAAGAGTATTTGTGTTAATTAATTTGTTTAGTGTTTGGTATTTTTACTTTACGCCCTCTAAACTATGGTAAAATAAATTTACCCATTTATTTTATACAATATCTTTAAATTCAATTATCAACAAATCGCCGCAAATAATGCAAAGATATTTTGTACTTCAAGAAAAATTAAATTACAAAAAGAGACCGGAACGCACCGTTTTGTTCCTCTTCCATCAAAAGTCCAAACCGAACTTGCCGTTTATGGATCTACCCAATCAAAACAATGGGTATGAATCCCCAAGGCAAACCGAGCAGCAAAACCTGAGCTCCCAAAGCACCACTCTGCCCCTGGTGGGAAATAAATTTCCCGTCACACTTGACGTAACATATCTTAACCGACAATTAAACACGGGAAAGTGGAGCTCTAACATCAGCCTATTCTGATTGTCTCCTACGCAATCCAGACCATGTCGGAGAAGCAGCTGATCGTGGCTGTTGAAGGCACCGCCGCGATGGGCCCCTTCTGGCATACTATCGTCTCTGATTATCTCGAAAAAATTATAAGGTCCATCCTTTCATTATTGCTAACTACTCGCTTTCTATTTTTATAACTCTATTTTGTTTATATTCTTATTATTCTTGCTTAGTTGTTGACATTGAATGTTGCATTTCTCTTGAGACAATATTTTATTATATTTTTCTCTTAATTAAAAAAAGAATTCAGTTCAGTACTCTGCATATAAACTTCGTTAATAACTAATTATCCCTAAAATCTTTCGCAAAATTGAGTTCAGTTCTATTTTTTACTGATATTTGATATTCATCAACTAGTTAAGTGATGTTGAACCATTGGCTTTCTTCTTGATGATTATATGAAGGTGATAGTCCAGCTAATTTGGTACGAGAGTTGTTTTGATTAGCAATCTGATGTTGAACTATATGCAAGTATGAGATTTATATATATTACACTTTACGCATTGATATTCATCACTCCATTAAGTGATGTTACTTTACGCATTGATATTCACCAACTCAGTTAAGTGATGTTGAACCATTGGCTTTCTTCTTGATGATTATGTAAATGTGATGAATCACAGCTAATTTGGTACTGAAAAGTTGTTTTGATTAGCAATCTGATGTTGAACCATATGCAAGTGATGAGATTTTTGTTTTGTTTTGTTTTGTCTTTGTTTTGTTTTGTTTTGTTTTGTTTTATATATATTTTCATTAGGATTATGTTGTTCATTAAAAATACTTTTCTTCCTAAGTGTATCTGTATAATGCGTCTGGCAAACTTCATAGCATTGAATTTTTGAAATGTAATTGGATACATTATGACTTCTTTATCTTGACATGGTTTAACAATGTGGCTTTCATTGTAGATTAACATGACAATTGTTTGTAGGTTACTATGTTCTAATTATGATAACTATATATCTGACGTCTTTCTAATATGAGAATAGGTAAATATGTGTCATTTTGTTGCTTATTAGGTTTGATGTTCAGATATTTTATTGATTTATTAATGCCTTTTTGGTAGTTTCGAAATTGATAATTTAGATGCAAAGATATATTGTTGTGGAGCGAGAGGTTTGGGGATTAATCCCCCTTACACCAGTTGGGTACTGCAGTGGGGTGCGCTGTACAAATTATAAAAGAAAGAAAAAAGACTTTGAACTTTATAACACCCTTTTGGGATTTTCTCACATGACAAAATGGCCCCTCAACTATGATTAATATCTCTTATATGAAAATTTGTTGATATTTGAGGATGCATTTGTAAAAGGATTTGTTACAACTCATTATAGGATGCCATTTGTGGTATAGAGAACATTTTCTTTCTCATAACTGTCAAAAGTCTGAAAATTAGTAGTATGTGAATTTTGGGTTTTACTTTCGGTATTGTATTAAGAAAATCAGTGTGGTTTGCATTTTGTTACATATCTTTATGTTTCTTTAGAATGTTGTGGTTTATTCTAAGATATTGGTGTCATAATTTTATGCTTGAGAAATTGTATATTGTTTTATGAGATTTTAAATTCAAGACTTTGGTCTTGTCTACTAATGGTTATTGCTAGGCATTATTGCTTGGTACTCTGGTTTTGGACCATTAATATTAAAAACTTCTTCCCTCTTAAGCCTAAATAAGGAAAATAATTACTTCCTTTCCATATTTAAATGCAGTTAAAATTATTATTCTCAATACTGGATCATATTTTCTATATACTGCGACAAGCACCGTTTAGTTAATATGTAGCCAAGGATAGGTTGTCAAATTATGCTTTAAACATATATAAGCAGTTATGTTTGGCATTTCTAATAGACTTGTCTGTCATCAGTAAAATAATAGCCACGGGCCGCCAGTGAGACCTTAAGTTCTAGGTTTCCTTTAAGACTTTAAAACCACCTCCTTCCTTCCAATTCCATTTCACTGCATTGATCATCTACATGGCTGATGAAAGAAAGCTGATTATCGCTGTTGAAGGGACTGCGGCCATGGGCCCCTTCTGGGACACCATCGTTGCAGATTACCTGGAAACAATTATCAGGTCTTTTCATTCATTTATGAAATTATAGTTTCTCTTTTCTTTCTTCATCTTTTATGTCTTCTTTTTCATTTTAATTTTGCTGTTTATGTGACCTTGCCTTCTTCATGTTTATGGTTTTTGTTTGTTTGTCAATCCTCAAATTTGAGTTTGCCAATAATGATTACTTATATAATCATGAGATCTATCAGATCTGGTTTACTTTATTCAAAGATATCACCTGCCTCAAAATAGAAGAAAAATGATCTCATTTAATTTTTTATTTCACGAACTTTTATCGAATAACTTTCAATCTGTTTGATTTGTGATTTAAAAATGATTTTAAAAAACTAAGATGCATTAGTAAAATGTGAGTTGCATCTCAGTGTTTTAATATCCTCAAGTGCGTTGAATATAATATTCAAAAACCAGTTTAGGAGTTAATGGGTATTGAAAGAAAACATTTTTTTTCATTTTTATTTTATTTTACAAACTTTTAGGTTGTATTCTGATGTCTTTGACAATATTTCAACAAAACATATTTTATGAAGTTTTTGTTTCCAAAAACTATGAATTGTTTTAAAATTCTAAACCAAACGGGGCTTTTCCTTTTGTAAATTAAATAAGAGAGGATTTTTCCAATCTTAATTTACTGCTTGGTTTGCTGATTTTGGTCTGATAAAAAATGTTTTTATATGAAACTAGAGCTTTATGTGAAAAAAATTCATTTTATAGCAAGTGTAATGTATTTTTTCATAGTTATCTATGAGTTTTTTTTTTTTTTTTTGGACAAACGATGGACATTTTATATTGCTCTGATTTTAAATCTTATTTGTTATTTAGCTTCTTCTTTCAGAGTTCTTAGAAATCCCAAGCCTTGCAAATCAATTGATTTACAACATGAGGAAACTTGTATCTCCAAGTTCTCTTCTCCTAATCTTGTCATTCTCTTGTTGCCGAAAAACACAACAAAATCAATCGTAAACCCCTCCCAATTGAAATGAATAAAGAAAAAGAAGTCTTGAAATTCCTTAGCAAGTGAAGGCCTAAGGGAAGTGAAAAGGCTAACTCTAAACCCACATATCGCTATTGCTTCTTCTCTTTTATTACCAAAAAGCTGATTATTTTTTCTAGCCTAATCACCCAAAGAATTGTCGAAACAACGCATCTTCATAGGGTTTTGGTTTTCTTTCCTCTCCCAAAGGCAACGACATTCTCCATAAGAAGTGCATCACAAGAATCCGGAATAGCCCGATATATCTCAGATTCTCTACAACCTCTTGCCCATAAGTTTGAGGTGACAACACAATGTAGGAAAGGATTATTATAGGACTCTTCACTTCTTTTACACGTTGCACTCTAATCTACCATCACCTTTGCTAGACCTTCTCCTTTTATTTCTTTAAATTCTATTATCTATCCTGTACAAGATAGATACAGTTTAACAAAATTGCTAAAATGTCCTTAAAAACTTGAGTTGAAGTAGGGTGAGTAGTACTTTGTTTCAGTTTGTGGTATATAATTTGTGATTACCAATGCTATAGTCACTGCAATACCTGTATTTGAGAATTGCTTCAGCATCAAATTGGCACGTTATGGTCACTAAGAGTGACAGTTAAATATGGAGAAGAAAATTAGGGCGGATCTACTGGCTTTTAGGTGGCCATTGTGTAAAAGAACTATAACTTGGAGGGCCAAGGTATGGGAATATATATTTAAAGGGCTAAATATCTAAATAATACCACTTTTTACCCTATATTTCAGAACTTTTTGTGGGGCTAGGCTCCCTAGCCCATATGTGCACTAAAGATAAGAGGTTCAAATTTGGGAGGTTGACCATTTTGACTACTTCTTTAGCTTCATTTGTTGGAAATTTTGGCATTCGTGGTTTATTTATTAATGTCTTTTAATATTCTTAGGTTTGATTTACTTTTGGTATGTACATATTTTCATGCCTCTTCTGAATCATGTTTGTTTTTATACAGGTCTTTTTGTGGTAATGAGTTGGCTGGGCAGGTAATCCTTTTGTTCTTCTTGTCACGATGACAAAGTTATAGAATTTCTATCCACCATTTGAGTATATATATATATATATATCGAATTAGGAATTGTATGTGTAGGCTATGCTTACAACTATTTAACTAATTCGGTTTGAGCTGTTTGGTTAAAACATGATGCTTCTTCTATGGACTATGATTTTTCTTATAGCTAATATGAGTAACCGAGATTGTTGGTAAATGGACTTAAAGTGTTAGAATGTAAAATGCAAGCAATTAACAGAATAGCTATCTGCCTATCTATGCTAAAGTTAAAATTATTTTTACTTGTAATGATTCATGACATGCTGTATGATTTTTTGTGATGCAGATGATACTTATTTTGCAACAAATTTGCCTATGTATCATTTAGTGTGAAGATATTTTAACTTGTCAAATATTTTTTACTTGAGAGCATGAGGATTTCTTTTTTTCTGCCTCTGTTTTGTGAGGAGAACAATATGCTTTCTTGAATATCTAGTCATGCCTTGTAGGTTAACTAGAGGAAGTGAGGAAGTTTGTTCTTGTGTTTCATAACATTTCTGATTTATATTACAAAGAAAAATCAATAACATACTGAAGTGATAAGATATATTTTCTGTAATTGTACAATAACTGCTCAATGTAGTTGGGAAATATGAAAGAATTAAAGGACAGCCACTTGTGATATATATGACATCTTTGAAGTATCATATTTCTGACTGGATCGGTTATTCATTTGAATTGAAATGATGGGACCATGGTGTTTCACTCTGTTTTCTTTTGATATGGGGTTCTTTGTGAGATTTTCTGTTTTGGCTAGAGAAGAATGAGCATTTGTCCTCTCTGGTTTGTTAGGGTTAGGGTGGTCACTAGAAAACATGTTGTGGCTCCATTTTCTGTTGATCTTTTTATAATTTTCTTTGTTAAATTTCGAGATTTCATGGGCAGATTGCCTGTAGAATTCTCTGTAAGCATATGCTGTCCAACTTGCAATTAGGCATTCTGTTTCTTTACAATAAACATACTTTTATTCTTTTGCAATACAGAAGGGCTCTACTTCTAATGTTGAACTCTCGTTGGTCACCTTCAATACCCATGGATCATATTGTGGTATTTCCTCGGCTTATTCTTCTTACTTCATGTTATGTCAAGAATCACTTTGTTTATCTTCTATTGCATTTTAGTGTTGAATCTTACTTTCTGAGGGACAGTACATGACGCTCTAGGCCTTGCTTATTGCATGCAACCTTGAATGACTAAAGAACATCTTTTTTTTTTTTTTTTCCTTTTCTTAATATTTAAAATTATACCCTCTTTTGCAGCTTGTTTGGTACAGCGGAGTGGGTGGACAAAAGATGTTGACATCTTTTTACAATGGCTATCAACCATACCTTTTGCTGGTGGTGGTTTCAATGATGCTGCAATAGCAGAAGGGCTTTCTGAAGCGCTAATGGTATGAAATATTGATCTTCTACTTATTTAAGGCCTTTCAAAATACTATATTAAATTTTTTTTTTTTTTTTTTTTTTTTTTTTTTTTTTTGGTCATGATAATTGATGCAATGAAATTGCCATCAATATTTTTTCGCGAATCTTGAGTACTTTTTATTGCAAGAATTCCATATCAAAACCATCAACTTCAAACCTGTCTGGTACAGTAATAGCATATTACAGTAAACTAAGTTTTCCATTCCGTGACTTACTTTTTCACCAATAACAAAGTCAATAATCTTAATAAATAAATAAATGTTGAAACAAGCTTTTATTATACAATATGATAAATTAATATTAATTCTTTTGTACATAATATTCTTTATATCAACAAAAATATATAATATTATTTCATATATAATAATTTATTATTGATTTTTTAATTATCAATTCATATAAAATGAACTTCAAACATAAAATATATATTTAAAACACAAAAAATAAAAATAATAAAAATAATAACATAACAAAATTAATAAATTGCTCGGCTTCCATTTTGTATATGTTATTGGAATTATTTGTAAGGATTCTTCAACGATAGTGGGGTATATAGAAGTGAAGTGAGAAATGGATATAACTCTTTTAAAATTTAAAAATGGAATGAAGAATATTTAGAAATTTATGGGATGTAATGAGAAAAAAATTTATTTAAAATCGAAATGGGATGTTTTAAGAAAATTAATATTTTAGGTAGTGCCAATTTATCCATAATCCCATCCAATCTATTCCGATAATTATGGATTTTTCTATTTTAAATTTGTATACTTTATTTTTCAATGACATCGAGGAAAGAGAAGAAATTCCAAGGGAAAAGACAGGAAAACCCTATAGAGAGTATTGTGTGTAATTAATTTGTTTAGTGTTTGGTTTTTGCTTTACGCCTCTAAACGTAAATATGGTAAAATAAATTACCCATTTATTTTATACAATATCTTTAAATTCAATTATCACAAATTGCCGCAATAATGCAGAGATATTTTGTACTTCAAGAAAAATTAAATTACAAAAAGAGACGGAACGCACCGTTTTGTTCTCTTTCATCAAAAGTCCAAACCGAACTTGCCGTTTTGGATCTACCCAATCAAAACAATGGGTATGAATCCCAAGGCAAACCGAGCACCAAAACTCAGCTCCCAAGCACGCTCGCCCTGGTGGGAAATAAATCTCCCGTCACACTTGACGTAACATAACTTAACCGACAATAAACACGGGAAAGTGGAGAGTCTAACATCAGCCTATTTCATTGTCTCCTACGCAATCCAGACCATGTCGGAGAAGCAGCTGATCGTGGCTGTGAGGCCGCCGCCATGGGCCTTCTGGCATACTATGTCTCTGATTATCTCGAAAAAATTATAAGGTCCATCCTTTCATTATTGCTAACTACTCGTTTCTATTTTATAACTCATTTGTTTATTCTTATTATTCTTGCATAGTTGTTGACATTGAATGTTGCATTTCTCTTGAGACAATATTTTTATATTTTTTCTTAATTAAAAAAAGAATCAGTTCAGTACTCTGCATATAAACTTCGTAATACACTAATTATCCCTATAATCTTTCTCAAATGAGTTCAGTTCTTTTTACTGATATTTGATATTCATCAACTAGTAAGTGATCGAACCATTGGCTTTCTTCTTGATGATTATATGAATGTGATGAGTCGACAGCTGATTGGTACTGAAGTTGTTGATTAGCAATCTGATGTTGAACTATATGCAAGTGATGAGGTATATATATATATCACTTTACGCCTTGATATTCATCAACTCCGTTAAGTGATGTTTACTTACGCATTGATATTCACCAACTCCGTTAAGTGATGTTGAACCATTGGCTTTCTTCTTGATGATTATGTAAATGTGATGATCACAGCTAATTTGGTACTGAAAAGTTGTTTTGATTAGCACAATGATGTTGAACCATATGCAAGTGATGAGTTTTGTTTTTTGTTTTGTTTGTTTGTTTTGTTTTGTTTTGTTTTATATATTTTCATTAGGATTATGTGTTCATTAAAAATACTTTTCTTCCTAAGTGTATCTGTATAATGCGTCTGGCAACTATAGCATGAATTTGAAATGTAATGGATACATGACTTCTCTTATCTTGACATGGTTAACAATGTGGTTCATTGTAGATTTACATGACAATTGTTTGTAGGTTACTATGTTCAATTATGATACTATATATCTGACGTCTTTCTAATATGAGAATAGGTAAATATGTGTCATTTTGTGCTTATTAGGTTGGTTCAGATATTTATTGATTATTAATGCCTTTTTGGTAGTTTCGAAAGGATAATTAGATGCAAAGATATATTGTGTGGGCGGGGTATGGGGATTAATCCCTTACACCAGTTGGGTACTGCAGTGGGGTGCGCTGCGCTGTGCGTACAAATTATAAAAGAAAGAAAAAAAACTTTGAACTTTATAACACCCTTTGGGATTTTCTCACATGACAAAATGGCCCCTCAACTATGATTAATATCTCTATATGAAAATTGTTGAATTGATGATGCATTTGTAAAAGGATTTGTTACAACTCATTTAGGTCCTTTGTGGTATAGAGAACATTTCTCTCATATGTCAAAAGTCTGAAAATTAGTAGTATGTGAATTTTGGGTTTACTTTCGGTATGTATTAGAAAATCAGTGTGGTTTGCATTTTGGTACATATCTTTATGTTTCTTTAGAATGTTGTGGTTATTCTAAGATATTGGTGTCATAATTTTATGCTTGAGAAATTGTATATTGTTTCATGAGATTTTAAATTCAAGACTTTGGTCTTGTCTACTAATGGTTATTGCTAGGCATTATTGCTTGGTACTCTGGTTTTGGACCATTAATATTAAAACTTCTTCCCTCTTAAGCCTAAATAAGGAAAAAATTACTTCCTTTCCATATTTAAATGCAGTTAAAATTATTATCTGAATACTGGATCATATTTTCTATATACTGCGACAAGCACCGTTTAGTTAATAGTAGCCAAGGGAGGTTGTCAAATTATGCTTAAACATATATAAGCAGTTATGTTTGGCATTTCTAATAGACTTGTCTGTCATCAGTAAAATAATAGCCACGGGCGCCAGTGAGACCTTAGTGCTAGGTTCCTTTAAGACTTTAAAACCACCTCCTTCTCCAATTCCATTTCACTGCATGATCATCTACATGGCTGATGAAAGAAAGCTGATTATCGCTGTTGAGGGACTGCGGCCCGGGCCCCTCGGGACACCATCGTTGCAGATTACCTGGAAACAATTATCAGGTCTTTTCATTCATTTATGAAATTATAGTTTCTCTTTCTTTCTTCATCTTTTATGTCTTCTTTTCATTTTAATTTTGCTGTTATGTGACCTTGCCTTCTCATGTTTATGGTTTTGTGTGTTTGTCAATCCTCAAAATTGAGTGTGCAATAATGATTACTATATAATCATGGATCTATCAGATCTGGTTTACTTTATTCAAAGATATCACCGCCCAAAATAGAAGAAAAATGATCTCATTTAATTTTTTAGTTCACCAACTTTTATCGACGACTTTCAATCTGTTTGATTGTGATTTAAAAATGATTTTAAAAAACTAAGAGCATTAGTAAATGTGGTTGCATCTCAGTGTTTTAAATCCTCAAGTGCGGTATATATTCAAAAACCAGTTTAGGGTTAATGGGTATTGAAAGAAACATTTTTTTTCATTTTTTTTATTTTACAAACTTTTAGGTTGTATTCTGATGTCTTTGACAATATTTCAACAAAACATATTTTATGAAGTTTTTGTTTCCAAAAACTATGAATTGTTTTAAAATTCTAAACCAAACGGGGCTTTCCTTTTGTAAATTAATAAGAGAGGATTTTCCAATCTTAATTTACTGCTTGGTTTGCTGATTTTGGTCTGATAAAAAATGTTTTTATATGAACAGAGCTTTATGTGAAAAAATTCATTTTATAGCAGTGTAATGTATTTTTTAGTATCTATGAGTGTTTTTTTTTTTTTTTGGACAAAGATGGACTTTTATGAAGTTTTGTTTCAAAAACTACGAATTGTTTTAAAATTCTAAAAAACAGGGCTTTTCTTTTATATATAAATAAGAGGGATCTTCCAATCTTAATTTACTGCTTGGTTTGCTGATTTTGGTCTGATAAAAAATGTTTATATGAAACTAGAGCTTTATGTGAAAAAATTCATTTTATAGCAAGTGTAATGTATTTTTATAGGTTTATGGTTTTTTTTTTTTTTTTGGACAAACGATGGACATTTATATTGCTCTGATTTTAAATCTTATTTGTTATTTAGTTCTTCTTTCAGAGTTCTTAGAATCCCAAGCCGCAAATCAATTGATTTACAACATGAGGAAACTTGTATCTCCAAGTTCTCTTCCTAATCTTGTATTCTCTTGTTGCCGAAAAACACAACAAAATCAATCGTAAACCCCTCAATTGAAATGAATAAAGAAAAAGAAGAAAAAAAAAAAAAAAGAAGAAGAAGAAGAAGAAGAAGAAAATTTAAACCTCCAACAACAATCAAACTTCCCTTGGTTTGGTTAGAATAGCACTTTTATTGTTATATCATTATTCAATTAACTAAAAGCCTTTTAAATAGGCAACACATCAACAAAAAACAAACGTAAAAACAAAAACAATTTTTAACCACTAACTCATACTCTGCAACACTACTAAAATGCCTAAATACTAGATCTAAACAGTCGACTTCTAAGGACCCATATAAAAGACAACTTTGAAAAATTGGTAACAAAATCTCCTTTAAACTGATGTTTTTGCTTAATTTACTCCTACAACAATCAAACTTCACTTAATTTGCTTACAATAGAAAACCCTAACTCACTATTCTATTAATAAAAGCAACAAATTCGACATGAAAAAACAAAATAATGGTTCCATTATCTAGCATTCTGTTGAAATAGACTGTTTAACAAATTAAAAACTTATAATTCAAATAAACCTACTCTCTATAATCTTAACAGTCAACAATAGTAACCAAAAAAAAAAAAAAAAACAAAACATAACAAAGAAATGAAATAGTATAAACACTGTAATCATCTTCGAAGTAAATCACAACAGCAGCACCAAATGCCACTAACACAATCTTCAATCTTCAAAGAGAGAAAGAAATTAACAATGCTTGTGAACGAATGCAAAACGAAAAAGGGAAACACAAAAATTAAAAACTTAAACAAACTAATAAACCGGCTAAATACTTGGTAAAAAAAAACCGGTTTAACACTTATAAATAAACAAGTTCAAACATGCCGATTCACACTTACAAATAATTTACTGAATTACTAAAACATGTTGCTATTATTACTAACAATTGGCCGTACCATTTCCCTATAATTGTAGCTATTGTTGAACAATCCTGTTGAATCCTATAATTTTAACCATTACTTAATAATCCTGTTTAATGTTAACAGTCAAGATGCAAAGTCATTAGTTTGTATAGTACAATTAAAATAGATTATCTGTCGTACATTTCCAATTACCAAATNTACTATTGTTTTCTGGTTTGTGGTTTTATTATCATCATCTTCTAAATAAAAAATAATTTGATGATCCTTTACTTAATGTTGAATTTATTCTTTACCCAAGGAACTTTCAAGATTATGTTATAATGGGGTTATTTTATTTTTTATTTTTATTTTTTAATTTAAATTTTTTATTTTATTTGGTTCTTGATTGTAATGATGCTTTGCCTCTATTGCATATCGTTTGGGAGTAAGGTTTAGAGGAGGTTCAAAGCCTAATCCCATCTGCTAGACAGCCTTAATATAATCTGGAAAAAGAGTAATATGTATCAGTTTTGATGGTTTCACAAATAATATTACCTACATTGAGTATGGGAGGGAATTGCAGTCAATCTGGTGTAAAGCACTCATGTGCCCAGCTGCTGCCCACTCACCCGCATGCTCATTTTTCTTTTTCTTATTTATTTTTATTTTAATTTTATCATACTACCTATATATTCCTTGTGAATCCATTCAAAACTGAAGCAAGGAGGTTGATGTTTCCTAACCTCACACTACCAGAAGAATGGACTGCCAGAGTAATGTTGTGGTGATGACAATTGAGGATTGGTGGTGTATTTAACTGCATTTCTAGTTGCACAATTTAACATATAGGCAACAGCAATGGCATAATCTTTGTTCTTTTCTTATTTAACTTATTTAGATTCTTTAACTTTTCATGTGAAGAATTTTTACTTGCAGAACATATGAGAAAAAACAATATATTCAATACAGTACCTGCAGATCGGTATGAGAAAAAACCACATACTATTCAAACTAATTAAAAACAAGCTTGATGTGTGCATTGTCTTTTTTCATCTTCATTGTCATACACATTGTGGTAGAATGAGATAATGTAATTAATGTGACATATGGTTTGCATAAGTAGTTGGATTACAGAACAGTATTTAATTTCTTTTTTCAATTTGTCTTAATATTAATGACCTTTGATTATAGACAGCGAGCATGTTAGCTTAACTGAGAAAATTGGACCAATAGTTACATCTAACAGAACAAGTTTTCACTTTGTCATGAATTTTCAGTTTGATTTCTAAGAAACAGAAATTATATATGCACAAAAGTTATATTGCTTTTCATGCTTAAGCTCAATTTTTACCTTTTCAATGATGCATCTCTCAGATGTTTTCTGTTGCCAATGGAAGCCAAAATCAACAAAATATTGATGGGCAAAGGCATTGCATTGTGGTTGCTGCAAGTAACCCTCACCCCTTGCCCACACCAGTTTATCGACCACAAATGCAGAATATGGAGCAGAGTGAAAATATTGAAATACAGACAGAAAGTCGCCTATCTGATGCAGAGACAGTGGCTAAATCATTTGCTCAGGTACTTTTCCTATACTAATTGTGATGGCTCTTTTCTTGTGAGGATCACACATGTTCAGGTGACTAACATTTATTTTTCCATCGCAGTGCTCTATTTCTTTATCTGTCATATGTCCAAAACAGCTTGCTAAACTTAGAGCAATCTACAATGCGGTGAGAATAATAATTTCCTTGAAGTTACAGAGTTATATATAGAACACAATCAACATCCAACACCCACTTCACCCTTTTTATCCATTCTCTTCAACTTCAGCCAACATTTTGTTTGGCTGCATGTTTTTCTAGTGAACTGCATAACCTATACTGTAACTTTTTGTAACACTTATTGGTGGATCATATGAAAGGAAACACCAGCCAAGTCATAATTTGGCTGCACAGAATACAAATATCAGGGAATGAATAAAGTAGTCTCAAAATTCTTGTAACATTTTATCCTAGATTATGCTTTTTTTTTTTTCCAGAAAGGAAGAGGAAATCACTTAATATTTTTTGCTCACTGGTGACCTGGCTTGCTACTGATTATATCTTTCTAAATGCAGGGAAAGCGCAATCCCAGAGTGGCCGATCCACCAGTTGATAATGGTAAAAACCCTCAATTTCTTATTCTGATCTCGGAGAATTTTATGGAGGCTCGTGCTGCTCTGAGTCGTTCAGGAGTTACGAATTTGGGTTCCAATCAAAATCCTGTAAAAATGGACATGGCTCCTGTTACTTCAGTTACCGGGCCATCTCCAACTTCTATTCCATCAGGTTGTTTATCCAATGATTCTTCTTATTTATCATATAGTTTTCTCCATATGCATCTTGACCCTTCCATGTAGTCAATCAACTAGTTTGCATCATTATGATTTATTATTTCTTTTAAATGAAAAATAAAAAAAACCATTTTCCTCCAATAAACACATTGACAAACCTGATTTTTTATTCGAAAGAATTAAAAATCACATGCGTCAGAGGACAGGCTTATCACAGTGCCTGTTCCACATCACTTTTAAGCTCTATTATTCTTATATAGTTTTGTCAACCCTCAAATGTAGTGTTACATTATTTGGTTTTGTTGTACAAGTCCACTATTCCATTGCAATGCAGACGAGGCTTGTTGCCAGTTATGTAGTTGTATTGGTATTAGTATCTTGTCCTGTAGGTGAGATAAACTAATTGCATTAAGTTATTTGTTCTATCTTTTCCCCACACAAATATATTGGCCAACTTGATTTTTGTATGAGAAAGAAAAGGAATTGCATGTACAGAACAATTTTAATCATATATATGATTTAATTCTCATCATTTGTTAACTTGGTTATTCTTAATATAGTCTTGTCAAGCCTCAAATATGAAATGTTGCATGATTTGGTTATGTTGGACTGGTCCAGTATGTCTTCATCCAAATATTGCAGTGTAGAGGAGGCATGTAGCCAGGTCATGTAGTTCTATAGCTCTCAGCCTCTTATTATTGATTTATTCTATATTGGTATTTGAAACAAATATCAGACCTACCAAGCTCGGAACATCTATTATCATAGATTCAGGATTTTAAAATGGATGCCAGTTTTGTGAAATTCAAGCTTTGGTTAGGGTTACAGTAACTAATTTAAGAGATGATTTATGGCTGTTTGAAGCATTAACTTTGTGCAAGAACGAATTAACTTTGTAATGCTAATCTCTAGAGTTTTAAGTTGATTTATATTGTGGTTGGATTTATCAGAAATAGGTCATGGAACATAAAGTAAGATCATTGCTTGATATGATTGGTTGAGATTCATCGTTGGTAGAGTTATTATTTTATATCTCTTGCTTAATACTCTGCTTGAAGTAGACTTACTTCCATTATGAATTTCAGTGAACGGATCCATGATGAGCCGGCAACCAATTTCTGTTGTAAATGTTCCTACTGCTACTGTAAAAGTTGTAAGTCCATATAGTTTTCGTATACTTAGCTTATTTATGGTCAATCATGGTCTAATAGAGTTTTGTTGACATGATTATATAAGTGGTTATGGACTCATCATTTGTATACTTTCAGGAACCAAGCACTGTAGCTCCCATGGTAAATGGATCTGCTTTTCCACATATTCCATCTGTTCCTCGTTCTACTTCTCAAGGAGTCTCTAGCTTGCAGACTTCTTCACCACCTTCTACGTCCCAAGAGATGATCACAAATGGTGATAGCGTGCCAGAAGTAAAACCTATTGTCAGTGGCATGTCACAGCCCTTGCGTCCTGTGCCACCTGCAGCAGCGAATGTGAGCATACTGAACAATCTCTCTCAAGCACGACAAGTGATGAATTCTGCAACCTTGACGGGAGGAACTTCTATCGGACTCCAGTCAATGGGTCAAACTCCTATGGCTATGCATATGTCAAATATGATATCCACTGGCATGGTTTCATCAGTGCCTGCTACTCAAACTGTTTATTCATCTGGACAACCGAGCATCACTTCTATAACTGGATCAGGGACTCTTACTGGGACTTCACAGGTTCCCCAAAATTCAAGTCTTAATTCTTTCACGTCTGCAACTTCTAATATGTCTGGAAATTCAAACCTTGGGATTTCACAGCCAATGGGTACTCTTCAAGGAGGTGTTAGTATGGGTCAATCTGTACCTGGTATGAGCCAGGCAAATCATTCAGGAGGACAAATGGTACAAAGTGGAATTAGCATGAATCAGAATATGATGAGTGGTCTTGGTCCATCAGGAGTCCCTTCAGGAACAGGCACCATGATTCCTACTCCAGGAATGTCTCAACAAGCACAATCCGGAATTCAGCCTCTTGGTGTGAACGGAAGTTCAGCAGCTAATATGCCATTGTCACAACAAACATCAAGTGCTTTGCAATCATCTCAATCCAAATATGTCAAAGTGTGGGAGGTAAGTCAAGTAAATTTTTTTGTTTAAAATACTGAAGATGATTTCTCAAACTGTAGATAATTGTCCTGTGTCTTCTCAGCATTGATGTTGGATTTGCAATCCTCTTAAATATTTATGTGTTGAACTCTACAAAAATACTTTTATTTGGACTATCAGCTAACATGCATATCTAGTATAGAATCAAAATTACTAAGGCTGTCCTAAGCCTTTTTGTCATCTATGTAAGAACTGAAGTTTTATTATCCTTGAAGATGGGCACAGTCCCCTAAAGTTCTACATTCCCTTGTATATACCTAGAGTTGTGAATTTAGAAAGACCAAAATTACCGATAAAAGTTTTAGCAAGTTTGACCCTTTGATTTTTGATAGTATGAATGTGAAACCACTGATTTTTCTTGAACGGTCAAACTGCAGGGAAATTTATCTGGACAGAGACAAGGGCAGCCTGTCTTTATCACCAAACTGGAAGTATGCCCTCAAACTCGTGATAAATTGTTATTCTAATATGAGAATATTTCCTTTTTTTTTTATCTTACGTTCTTTTCAGATATCTTGTTTTGTCTGCATGTGTGTTTTTTTTAAATTGCATGGTGCCTTCAGTCTTAAACTTCTACATTGTACTCATTTCATCTACTTTTGTAGAATTCCATCAAATATGTAAACTGACTATTTATTAAATTGTGGCAGGGTTATAGGAATTCATCAGCTTCTGAGACGTAAGTTTAGAGATTGATTTTCTATATATATATTAAAATAAAAGTCTAGTAAATGTTATCTATGCTTAAATTTTTAACCCCTGGATGTCGGTTGAATGGTTGACCATTGGTTTCCAGCCAGAATGCCATCGTTAACATTCCCCTGGCCAGTGGTCACCTATCTTGATCAGGGGAAGCTATGTCCATCCTACTCATTTTCTTAACTAATTTGGTCAACCTTTCATTTGCCTTGGAGTCATTTTCCATTCCAGTTTCAGCCTGACTTCTCTTCCGCTTTTGGCAGGCTTGCAGCAAATTGGCCTCCAACAATGCAAATAGTTCGACTCATATCTCAGGACCACATGAATAACAAGTAAATTTAGCATTAGTGGATATTTCCATTTCACCTGTTTTCTATTTTACTGCTTTTTTTATCTCCCTTGGATCTGTTATTTTTCTGTGTGTTAATTTCATTCATTTGATGTCAGGCAATATGTTGGAAAGGCAGATTTTCTAGTTTTTCGGGCAATGAATCAGCATGGGTTTCTTGGACAACTGCAAGAAAAGAAACTTGTAAGTCATCTGATGGCTGAATTTGAAGGGTGTTATTTAACATTTTCACCTTGTCCCGTAGTCAAAAATTGATTTTTGATTCTTCAGGTTTCTTTCTATATCCAGCATGTAATTCTGTCGTATAATTTTCTATATGAATTTAGATATACCATTATCAACTTACTCAACTATTTTGGTAAGGTGGGAATGAAGAAAAAAGATAATGTGTTAGCAGTAGCTGAACAACAATAGCATTTAACTAACCAACATGTGGTTGTTAGTTGTGCCCATATGGCTGAGTATTTAAAGTGAATAACATTTTATTTTTGCTGTCTTTACTGGGAGAAATTAGCAGACTTGAGAGTTCTGATGCTGAAACAAAAATTTTCATCTGTGGTAGTTATCACAACTTATTAAATATAGATCATCTTGGTGAAAAGTTTCCTGTAAGTCAAGGTTGTCTTTCTGCTATTTTTAAGGGAATGCAAATTAGGACATTCGTGAGTCTTGGCTGTTTCTATTGTTCTTCTTCAGCCATTCTTATTGCTTTGCCCACGTTAGACAAAGGAAAAGTTCTCATATTTAATTTGTAGTGGAACAAAGAAACCCTTAAGAAGAGAGCTAGGAATATGCATGTTTGCTTCTCATATGTTCAACAGTTTTTTTTTATCTTGTCACCTGACTCGGCCACTCAGCTGAGTTGAATGAGGGGCACTGATTTGTTAATTTTTAATCTGCATTATTAAATATATTTTTGGAGTTGTTGAAATTAAATAATCGAGAAAATGTCCGTAACTTCAGCTGATTTCTAAACTTGGTATGATTTAAATCAACTCTGGTGATACTTCTGCAGAGAAGCAGAAGAAAAAAGAATTATCCTGGATTCTTAGGTTTACTCATGAAATATATAAATGCTCATATATTAGAGGATGACATCTTGGTGATTTCCTCAAAGTTCTAGGAACTATGTTCATGTTAAATTGTTTTAGGTGATGTTTTATCTAATGTTTATAACTATGAAATCATTGATCTGTCTGATGGTGTAAACTGATGTTGAATTTGTCATTTCTCATTCTCCAGTGTGCAGTCATCCAATTGCCATCACAGACATTGCTGCTGTCCGTTTCTGACAAAGCCTGCCGTTTGATAGGAATGCTTTTCCCTGGGGTGAGATTTTTCTGAACATGAATCTGATTTGTTATAAATAGAGGTTGATTTAGTATATAATGCTAGATTCTTTTGGGGCATTACAATGCAAGCTGCTTTCACTCTAGATTTTCCCTTATTTTGTGCTCTTTCTATTGTCCTCTCTGAGACGGGGGCCTGTGATTATTGAATTATGTTTATTAGGAACTATGCATTTTAATCATCTAATCTCACTGTCTAAGTAGGATATGGTAGTGTTTAAACCACAAATACCCACCCAGCAACAACCGCAACACCCACAGCTGCAATCGCAGATGCAACACCCACAGCTGCAGCAGCTGCAACAGCAGCAGCTTCCGCAGCTACAACACCAACAGCAGCTTCCACAGCTGCAGCAGCAGATCCCGCAGCTGCAACAACAGCAGCAGCTTCCACAGCTGCAACAGCAGCAGCTGCCTCAAATGCAACAACCACAGCAGCTATCACAGCTTCAACAACAACAGCAGCTACCACAGCTGCAGCAACAACAGCAACTGCCCCAGATGCAGCAACAGCAGCAAATTCAACAGCCACAACAGATGGTTGGTTCTGGCCTGGGTCAAGGCTATGTTCAAGGTCCAGGTCGTACACAATTAGTTTCTCAGAATCAGGTTTCATCACAAGGGCCTCCTAGCATGCCTGGAGGCGGCTTTATGAGCTAATTACCTTTAGTTTTTCTGGAAAAGGATATTTGTGCATAAGAAACAGGCCCTCTAGAGACCAATAGTATGCCAATTCAGCTCATGAACGAGGGTGCTTATCTGCATGGCTTGCCTTTAAGTTAAATGTGACCTTATTTTATTAAGTGTTGTATTCCATTTGGATTTTATGTTGGAAAATCTAATTATTTTTATGGTAAGTGATTAAGGATAGAAACATGCACACACTTACTTCACAAATAGCTGTTCAATAGCGAAATCGTGGGTATCAATGCGTAAGGAAAGAGTGTGTGAAGTTATTTGTTATTTTTGTGTTGAGCTACTAATAGGCTAAGCTTAAACGAAATGTGCAATCTCGTCAAATAAATTTGGACTAAAAAGGGAAAAAGTGAGCTGGGATTTGGTAGACTGACGCTGACCCCCTAAAAATAGCTTGGACTATTATACATATTGGCTATAAATGAATTTGAATTATGACAAAATATTCTGAAAGTATTTGTCCAATTGTACAAGAAGATTTCACTAACTGGGGTGATTGTCTGCAATGCATACGGTTGAAGACGTTTGAAGAAGTAAAGCTGTCAAGGCACTCGAACCATATCATGGAGAGATTGAGTTGTTGAGGGCATATCAATAGTAAGATTTAAGATTTGACCTTGTATTAGTATGATAACCGTGATGTGATGTAGATATGACGATGATGGCAATATAAAAATTTGAGGAAAGTGGTGTTTTATCTTTATCTTTATTTTTTATTATTTATGTGGTTAGCCAAAAAAGCATTCCTCAAAGCTAATGGGAACATTTCAAAGAAAAGTAAGATTAGGACCAATAGGACCCGCATCAACTTTAATCATTATTTACTGAATATAATACAAGGCACCTAGTAGAATTGTGTAAGGTATTGAGGATAGGTTCATATCACCAGCCATGATAAGACCATCCCATCATTTGCTCCAAATTAAGAACCGTGGAAATGCCAACATTGTCCTTATATTAGAGTTAAGAGGACCAAAATTATGCCATTGCTGCCCCTTAATTTGGATAATCAAACTACGAAGACTTGTACCCCAGTAAGTATTTAGTCTCCTTATACTTTCTTTTTCATGAGGAATATTTTCGTATAATCTTTTTATTTTGATAATGAAAAGAAAAGAAAAAAAGAGAGAGAATATAATTTACTCCCTTTGAATATATATATATATATTTTTTTTTTTTTATGGTGGGGTAACATGACATCACTTTTCCATGATTGCTTTGCTATATAACGAGGAAAAAGAGGGCGCTTTTCTTTGCTTTTGGTAATAATGGAATCGGATACTTTCATAATTTCTCATCAAATATTATTTAAGAAATGTGATTTTACTACTAATCTTCACTGCAAGTACTCCCTCCGAGTGCGCAAACTAAATAAAAGTTTGGAAATTAAAGTAAAAAATTCTTTTTCTTACCTTTGAGTCAGCAAACCACTACCACTACAAATACATGATGGTGATCTCTCAACTCCCACCGGGGTCTGTCTGTTTCTTTGCCTTTGCCTGGAAAATATGGTTTCAGCTTCTCTAACTCCAAAGGTGAGCGCATTCCTATCCTCTCTTTACAAATGTCACTTCATTAAGTTCTATGCTAACATTACTTATCCTCACCACATCGTTAATTTGTTCTTTAAATCTTACTTGTTCTAAATCAACTTTAACAGGAAGTTGAGTCCAACGAAAAGTGGACGCAAGGAGAGCCATCTCGCCACGCCAGATGGTGGTACTCAACTTTTCACTGTGTCACTGCCATGATAGGTGCGGGCGTTCTCAGTCTGCCCTATGCCATGGCTTATTTAGGATGGTATGTATATATATATATATAACCACATATGTTAGAGAAATTTTTAAATGAACCATAAAGATTAAAACTTATAGAATTCATTTTGTTTGTATATTTTGACTTAGGGGTCCAGGAACAATGGTGTTGGCAATATCTTGGTTCATGACGTTGAACACAATGTGGCAAATGATACAACTGCATGAATGTGTTCCTGGGACACGCTTTGATCGGTATATTGATCTGGGTAGACATGCTTTTGGACCAAAACTAGGGCCATGGATTGTGCTTCCTCAGCAGCTGATAGTTCAAGTTGGGTGTGATATTGTTTACATGGTGACTGGAGGCAAGTGTCTTAAGAAATTCGTGGAAATGGTCTGCAACAATTGCACACCAATTAGGCAGTCCTATTGGATTGTCATATTTGGTTCTCTCCATTTTTTCCTCTCTCAGCTTCCCAATTTCAATTCTGTCGCTGGTGTTTCATTAGCCGCAGCTGTCATGTCACTAAGGTACCTCTAAATTGTGTTTTAGTTCATTTAGTTTGAATTTTTCAAGGAATACTCGGTGGATTTATTGGTGGTATCGTAAGAATTAAGTATATGTGATCTCAAACATTAACTGCTTAGGGAAAACAATCTAGAATCCATAATGATTTGCACCGAATGATACACTATGAGGAAGTGACACTCACCTTCTTAGTCCTGATAGACCACCTAATTAATTTTCTTTTACGCTAGCTAACTCGGATTATTTTAATGATTTGGTGTAGAATATTAACCAGATTGAGTGGTTGAAGCTACAACCCTTGCCTTTCATCAGAGTCAAACTAAAAAATTAATTTTTTTTTATTTTTTTTTATTTTTTTTTTTTGTGTGTGCACAATAGTAGAGCACTTTTAATGTGGCGGCAAAAGCCTGGAAGTTGCAGCGCCCCTCCTTTAAAGATGGAAGATAAGGGGGCAAGGGTCTACTCTATTATTTCCCCGTGAACTTTGGATGAATACAAGTCTCTCCTTTCTGTTTTTCCTTTGTATTTTTGTTTGTAGGAAAATGAGCCTTTTCTTTGTCCGTCAATTATTGGTTAATATGTGAATATAAAATCATCGGTGGTAGTGAAATATTATAGAAAACCGAGCTCACTAGTGAGGTAAAGCAGCTTCAAGTAATTAAAAAACATGCAGCCGTCTGCCACTAACAAGACAAACATCACATAAAATATGTATGAGCTCCTTTTAGTATTGTCTAAAAAGGTATAACCTAACTTATTACAACACCTTTGTTATTTTAAATTATTCGAAAAAGAAAATATAATGATACAAATTACAATTATGTGCATATATGTAACATGCAAATAAAATGAGAAAAATAATATAATCTTGGTGAGATTATTGCAGTTATTCAACAATAGCGTGGGTGGGTAGTTTGGCTCATGGTAGAGTTGACAACGTTAGCTACGCCTACGCATATCAAAGCACAAGCTCAGTCGATTACATGTTTCGAGTGTTCAATGCACTGGGACAAATATCATTTGCGTTTGCGGGACATGCAGTGGTGCTTGAAATTCAGGCCACAATGCCATCAACTCCTGATAAACCTTCAAGAATACCCATGTGGAAAGGAGCAGTCGGTGCCTATTTTGTTAATGCAATCTGTTATTTCCCGGTAGCCCTTATAGGCTACTGGGCGTTTGGGCAAGAGGTTGAAGATAATGTGCTAATGAACCTTAAAAGACCAGAGTGGCTTATCGCTGCTGCAAACCTAATGGTGGTCGTCCATGTCATTGGCAGCTATCAGGTTTGAATCAATGCATATTAATTTTAACAGCTTACTAATTACAGTATTTAATGAATGACTATATAACAAGGAAGACATATATGCAGGTTTTCGCTATGCCTGTTTTCGACATGCTGGAGAGGATGATGATGAAAAAACTGAACTTTCCACCAGGACTTTTACTTAGAATCGTTGCTCGATCTGCTTACGTAGGTGAGATTCCCACCGCCATTCTTGGAGAAATTTAATAGAACTATATGTTTTTAAATGGAGAATACTTATTTTTGTAAATTTTTTTATATATATTGAGCATCACATGATGGGATGAGTACATGAATTAATTTGCAGCGATTACGCTATTTGTTGGAGTGACCTTTCCATTCTTCGGAGATCTTCTGGGTTTCTTTGGGGGATTTGGTTTTGCTCCCACTTCATATTTCGTAAGCCTTTTCAGTTAACCATTTAAGCTGTGTCACTAAACTCCTAATTACCTGCCATGTTGAGTATTAATTAATGGTCAAATTGCTGCAGCTGCCTAGCATCATGTGGCTGGTAATCAAGAAACCAAAAAGATTCAGCACCAAATGGTTCATCAATTGGGTAAATTTAATATTATACTAATAGAAAGATGGATGCTGAATTCACAGCTTAATAATATGAAATTGAATTTGAATTTGTGCAGGCCAGCATAGTGGTTGGAGTGTTCATAATGTTGGCATCAACAATTGGAGGGTTTCGAAATATTGTCACAGATGCTTCCACTTATGATTTCTATACATAAGTTGATTAATAAATATTTTGTACTTGTAGTTCTACATTGTTTTCCTATGTCCAGTCTACGTTTGAAGAATCAAATATTATTATCCAAAGCAAGCCCAATGTTTTCCACCTCGCTTTTGGCTTGTAAATCAGTTTATGTCAAACTCAGTCAATGCACATTCTTAATCAACTGTTAAAATATTACTAATTAATATTCTCTCTCGTTATTAATATCTATAATCTCTTGAGCAATTAAACTTCTAATATGAAAGTAGAAGTAAAGAATCTATGAATGTAAAAGTTGGAAAGGGAGGCCGTGGCAATGGATTGTTGCACTAGTCTTTCTCGAGAGTTAATCGAGGTACAAGTAAGTTAACTCGAATATTTTGACTAAAAAAAAAAGTTAGAGAACATGTAAAAGAGCAGTTACTTCATAAAATGTAGGTGATTGATTTAACAATATAATTGAGCAGCTCTCAGAAACTAAGCAAATGGTATGGCTATGATTTGTGTTGTACAACTTTATCCCACTTATCACTAGCACTTATATTTTTCAGGGAGTGGTTGATGATGGTGATACATCAATATATGATGACCACCATTAAATTAAATCATTTGTACCATATTATACCTTAACTTCCTTCATACACATTATATTTTTTGTGCTAGTATTATTGGTTTCGAGTAATACTACACTCACAAACACTTATCACTAACTTTCTCTCATAAACGTCACGTGTCAGCTCGTAATTGGTCAGTTTGAATGGGTCTCGCTTGTCCAACAATGGGTTTCACCTGACTAAGCTAATTACAAACTGTCACATGGGGCTAGTGAAATGTATTAATGAGAGATGTTTGTGAGGCTAGTATTCTTTTTTATTGTATGGTAAAATCCTGTGTGTTTAGCTTTTTTGTAATTTACACTCACTGATTTCGAAAATGTGAGCTTAAAGTGTTTGACATTTTTTGTGTGAGCACTCACTAATTTTGAAAATGCAACCCAAATTCCCTTTTTTTAACCATCGGTTAGGTTATTATATTTAAGTTTAAAGGACATGATGTTTTTACTATTCACCCAAGATTAAATCAATCTAACATTTAAAATCTATCAATAATGTTAAGAGATTAATATATTTTTTAGAAATTAAATTTGATGAAATTGTTAATAAATTTAGGTTGAATTGATAACATTTGCATTATTAGTGAGTGTTCACTACTAAAAAAGGTCAAACATACAAAGGTTAGGATCGCATTTCTAAAATCAATGGGTGCTCACTACAAAAAAAGACCAAACGCACAAAGTTCAAAGTCATATTTCCAAAATGAGTAGATGTTTGTTTAAAAAAGACAAAACACAAAAGGCTTAGTATAAAGAGTAATACTATGTTTACATCGACATTTTACACCAATCTCTTCACCTGCCACATCATCAGAATGCCAGGTCACTTCCCCAAATAGAAAAAAGAAGGGCCAAAAATCCAAAATTTCAAACCTTAATTTGCCCAACTTTTTAAACCCCAGAAAATTTTCATCACATTAAAACCATAAGTTGAGCTGATCCAATTTCATAGTTTTCCTAACTTTTGAGCATATTTCCAAACTTATTCTTCATAAATGGATTTAGCAACTGTAAACCTCAGAAACTTTCTGTCACATTATCACAATCACGATTTTTTGCCTCAACTCCTCTTGATTGACTACAACAGTTCTTTCATTTAAGTTTCAGTTTGCTTACGAACATTATAACGAAATCATCAAGGCATCAATTGCAAAGGAAGAGACGCACTACACTTACCAGACTAAGATATTATTTGGTAAATTGTAGATGCAAAAAATCTACCTTTACGGAAATAGGGTATGATCTCGTGAGGTTGAGGCCACAAGCAATCCGCTAAACCTGCACACGCGAGGAAAAAAGTGTGAAGCAAATGGAAAACATCGGGGTGGTGTTTGCCATAGACACTCCGACGATCAAGTCAGCAAGGCTGAATGAGGTTAATTTAGTAAGGGTTAGAGAAAGAGAAGGTTACCAGGAGTCTAGTCGAAGACTACAACTACGGTAGTGATATGAGGTGCCTAAGAGTGAGAACTACGGGTTTCGAAGGTGTAATGTGTCCCCTTGTGAGAGGGTTGGCCTCTGTTTAAATAACAACTGTAGGATCTTCGAGTCATAGGAGGACTGTGAGTCCTTTGGAGTTGAGGTTTTGTGAAAAAGAAGAACCTTTGACTCCCTTACCTTAGTGGGAAAGAGAGTCCCAACGGGTCTAAGACATGGATCTTAGATGAATTAGGATAGTAATGGACCTCTTCGATGGAGTTCAAATAGTGCCGGAGTAAGTAGACAACCTTGGGCTCCAAGTAGATCCTAAGTCCAATAGGTGGTCTAGGATCAACGGGCATGGGCCTAGACAACTTGGTGATGAGGCCTAAACGAATCGAGCCTTTGCTGATTGGGCCCAAGTAGTGAGCAACAGGGTAGGTGTACCAAGTAGACCTGATTTGCAGACTCTATTGCGGGCCCAATCAGAATTGGGCCATGGTTTCGAGCTTTGTTGAAAGTGTCTTCATCTTTGGGCCTATTTGGACCGAGGACTTTTTTTAGCCCTAATAGTTTGCCCCCCACTTTCTAAGTTAAGGAGTGCTTAGCTTAGAGAGTAGATGTTGTGTGGAGGTGTGCCTAGTAGTTCTTCGTAACCGACTAGTTGAATACGTGAGTGTATTGCATCTCCGTTCACGGAGCCGAACAGTATAGCTTTTACTGTAGGTGATGCACTCGGTATACCAGGCCGAATGGGTGAGTGGAGGCGGAACACAAACATACCTTCACTCGACGTATCTAACCGAGTGGAAAAGTGGAGTTGACCTTGGAGAACTCGCCTGGTGCATTGGACCGAGTGAGGGGGAGTGACGACTATCCGTGAAGATGCCCTAATTAGATGCATCAAACCAAGTGAGGGGATGTGAGGCACATCTTGTAAAGATGTCCTCACTCGGTGCATCGAACCAGGTGAGAAGATGTGAAGTACCCTTTAAATGTGCCCAAACTCGGTGCATCGAACTGAGTGAGAGAAGTTATGAGAGCTTGTATCACTCGGCGCGTCAAGCCAAATGATGTGTTGCGAACTAGTTGTTTGGAGCTTCCCATTCGACCGGGTAGACTGAGCGAATGGATATAAAGTATCAAAGGTGTTTGATCAGGTAAGTAATGAGATGAATAATCTACACTCATTGGAGGTGTAGTCGTCCTGGCGCAATCGTCATGCTTCTGGGTATATGCATTCCTGAACTGGAGACATGTGTAAGGTCGGGATTTCAACCTATTTTGGGTAGGAATTTGGAAAGTTGATTCGCCTAGGGCAAAACGAGGTTTTGCCACGTGGACCTGTTTGAAGGGACAATCATTAAATGCCATCCATAAGTGTCTTTAGGTATTTCATCTTTCTCATCTCAAATATTGAAGAGTTTCTTTGCAAGTTTTTCGTAGGGGAGAACTTTTAGAGCTTCAGAGATTTCTCGCGTTTTTTCACGATAACCACTCCTTCTGAGTCTTCTTTTTTTATTTTCGAGTTTACTGTTGCTTTTGGTTGGTTTCTGGAATAGTATTCTTGTTGTTTTGAGATGGTTTTGAATATATAGAGAAAAAAAGGGATTTGGGGTTTTCTTGGGTTTGCTTGTGAAGGGGATTCTCTGATTTTGGAATGTTTTATTGCGGTTTGCATGTCTGCTTTGGAGGAGTTATATTTGTATTGAAAATCTGGAGAGATTTGGAGTAATTTGCTTGAGTTTTGATCTGTTTTTGGTGGGCGTGAAATATGCTAGGTTGATTTTTTGTGGTGTTTGCGTTTTTGGCAAAGATAGAAGACAGAGTCAAGTTATGAGGTATTTTGGTTCGGTTTGGCTCATCTTGGTCTGCTTGACCGGGTCGAGTGAGGTGGTTTGAATGAAGTTTGGTTTTTCGGTAAGGGCTAGGTTACATAGGTTGTCTGATCTCCCAAGTCAAGTGAAAAGGGATCTAAACGAGGGGTTGAGGTAGTAGGTACTCGATGATCCTGACCAAGTCGAAAGTTTCTTAGAGGCAAAGAGTTAGCTTGATATCAGAGCTTGTTAGTCGGTCGCTCTGGGCGAGTGGAGCTTTTGGAACTAAGGATACGATTTGGTATTGAAAAACCAATCAGTTGCTTGGGTCGAGTGGCTAAGGAGTTGAATGTCGCAGTCAAAGTCGAGCGACTTGAGGGGGGTGGAGATGGAAGTTAGGAATGAATATGAGAATGCCCCAACAATGGTACTGATGCCAGAGGGTGGAGATGTTCTGGTCGGCATACCAAAGGGGTTGAACATGGCCGCTATTGGGCCGAGTAACGCCGCCCTGAACGATGGTGATTCGGATGGGCAAGGGACGAGTGGAGAAGACTCTGATGAAGTCGATGGTTCTGAAAGTTTGCCTTCAACCAGTAGCGGCTCCGAGGATGAGCCGAGCCGACCCGGTAGCGAGATATTAAATAAGGACTATCCATCTTTGCTGAAGGAGAGTGATGTGTGGCGGATCAAGCAATGGACCACATTCCAGAGTTCGTCAAGATTAGGGTGCCCAAGTTGTACAAGAGGGTCGACTAGGAGGCAAAAGGTTAGGTGAGTGCCTACGAGAAGTGGTTCCATGACGGGCTAAGGCTTCCTATACCCCGTCTTGTCTGGGAGGTCTTTAACCACTTTATAATCGCGCCGATTCAAGTTATATACCGAATGGGTGGAGATTGTTGATGGCTTTAGAGGACCTCTGTGTGTGAAATCAAGTGATGTTTGGGCTCACGAGTTGATATACTCTTATTTCTTGAAGGAGAGTGATAAGGACAAGGGCCAGTACATGATCAATCTTAAGCACGATCAGGCTCATCCCGTGACTGACCTCCGATCGAGTGATAAACACTTCTTCTTCATGAGGGGTGAAACAGTCTTTAAGGAGAGAGGCCAGGGCGAGATCCCGTATACTTGGCGAGCGACTGGTGAGGAACTTAGTCTTTATTCATTCTTTGATTACTAAAGTCTTAATTTGTTTCTTTTTTGCAAATCTTGAGTTCAATCGTGCCGGGTAGAGTGGAGACGACTTAGATGTGCAAACTAGAAAGGTTTTTGTCATTCCTAGGGCACAGAGGGATTGACGAGTAGTGTTGGAGGAGGCGAATATGAGAACGAGTCACCTGTGGGCTGGT